CTTGAGAGAGTGCATTGCTATCTCTCATTACTCCATCACTTACATGCCATGCTTGTGACAGATAGAAGGTTGCTTTTTCAATTACTCTTCCAATTCACTCACTTTGTCTTCACACAGCTTCCTAGTAAACTCGCCATACTTGAGACAACAGCATGACTCAATGTCTATTGACATTGTGGGATGGGTTTTTTTTTGGAAACAGCTTCTGCTTGGTTGTGAATCAAATACGTGACTTTTCCTTTCCCTTTCATGAATGAGAGCCAACAGTGTAACTAAGGTAGGGTGCTGACTTAAGAAGGGGGTGGGGCAAAAAATACTGGCTGCTGCTGCAGCCACACAATCATGCCAACAGCATGGTGGCAGCCAGAAACTGCCACTGCCCCTGTGTGTCCCACTGCTTCAGGCACTCCACTGCTTTGTTAACTCTGATGGAAGCTTCCACTCCTCTTGAAACACATGGCATTTCTTTCCCATTTTCCTCTTCACAGACATGGTATCTGGCTTACACTTAACAGAAATATATGAGACGTGACACTTGCTATCCTTGCTTATTTCACAACAGATGACTAACTGTTACAAATGTGAGTATAATCTTGTAAATAACACCACCACAGTTGTGTTTTCAAACCCTCTTTATTCTAAATGCTGTGGTTACATAGTGTTGCTTTACAAGCACCATCTGAACTCTTTGCTCAAGATACTGCTTGTCACAACAACCCACTGCAACTTACACATGCTTGGTTATTTTTCAAAATGTCCACAATGCTCCAGTGCTCATCTTTGCAGAAAGAGAGGTTTACATTACTGTAAACTCTCTGTTGTTTTCCTTTATGGCCATATAAACAAGAGATAGAGACTGGACAGAACTAGGAAGAGCAGACAGACTTTGGGAGGGCTAATACAAAGAAAAGCTGTGTTTATTTCAGCCTTTGGATTCTCCCTGCAGACCTGTTTCCTGACTTCTGATCCTAGCTTGGCTTACTCTTGGACTTTGTGCTGTGAATTATCCTTCAGATTTGGTAACCAGGTTTCTGACTCTGGCTTGACAGTTTGGGTCCTGACTTGTGGCTTCTGACCCTTACCACTGCAACCCCAAGCTCCAGGCCCAGCTCTACCCACTAGGCAGCCGGCCTAGTGGACTGTGACTGAGGGGGAGCACCAATCCATTTGCAGTAAGTGGTTTTAGCCACCTACTCTGGCAATCAGTATTTTGACACCCTATTATTCAAGTCAACATTCAGAAGGAACATTTAGCCCTACATGAAAAAGTAAGTTAGAAAAAATTCACATGCTTTGGAAGGTTTGAGATGTCCTCCTACAGTGAACTTCTATAGTGTCTATTTAGTGTGTTTGCACCTATGACATACACATGAATCTACATGAAAGATGTTACTATTTAAACAAAATTCTAAAATGTTATATTTTCCATTGATAACTCCAGTGGCTCCCCCTCTCCATGCCTTGCACATGGGAATGACTGCTAAAATTATCCAGCTCCTCAAACTGGCTGTATATGTAATGTTTCTATGGCTTAATCGCACACAGCATTATCCATCACCCAATCCAACAGTATCCTTCTCTGTTTTCATGTATGTTCAGCTGACAACATGGATACACAGATGCGATTTAGCTAGCTTAATGGCAATTTTTGTCACATGGACACAGGAAAAGCGTAACATGGAAACAAGAGAGGTGTCACATGGACAATCTTTTCTCCATAATTTAATCCAGCTCCTGCTCTTTCTTCTTTCATGACTCATTTCCCTGGCACTGACACAGTAAATCCAACTGCAAAGACAGTGGGCTAAGACAGAGCAATCATAAATACAACAACCTCTGTCACTAAGTTTTGCAAATCCATAACTTCTCAATGTGCGGGCCGGCTCCCGATCTCGGGGGCGAGCCGGGCCCTTCTTTGTGCACACAGGCTGTGGCCAGCAGCCCGGGCACGCGGGGCCGGAGAAAACCGCGGTGCAGTATGGTACGCTCGAGCTAGAATCAGTCACGGAGGCGTAATGGTTGATTGAAAAGATTATTTACTTACACCCAAGGTGGTCGCGGTATAGGCTGGTCAGCTTTCCAGGCACAGCTCCGCTTGAGTTCTCGGTGGAGGACTCTGATAGACTCGGTTCCTTGACCCCGGAGTGGTTTAAGCTCCGTGGTTTTAACAATTCTCTCTCACAGAGCAGCTGAATCTCCGTGGGTTTCACTCGGTTCCCCGGTCCCCCGGAGTTGTTAAGACTCCGTGGGTTCGACAATTGGGTCCATAGGATAGGGATACGTCTAGGATTGCGGTCGGCGAAGGGGAGAGGCTAGAGGTTATGTGCCTTGGAGTTGTTAAGGCTCCAAGGGTTCGGAAATTAGGTCCCCCGGAGTTGTTGAAGCTC